CTATTCTATTCTTGTTCCCTACTCTACTCTACTCTATTCTTGTTCCCATTCCATTCCATTCCACTTACTCTACTCTACTCTATTCTTGTTCCCATTCCATTCCACTTACTCTACTCTATTCTTGTTCCTGTTCCATTTCATTCCACTCTACTCTACTCTACTCTGTTCTTGTTCCTGTTCCATTTCATTCCACTCTATTCATTTCATCAGATGCATTTCATCAGAGTAGCTCAACCGATGTAAGGAGGAAGAGACAGAGAGTGGTTTTGCTGACGCAAGACTGAGTACTTTATTCTGTTCTGTTCTGCTGTTCTATTTTCTACTCTACTCCCACAGCAAACCTGTTCTGTTCTATTCCATGTTCTGTTCTGTTCTTTTCTACTCTACTCTACTCTACTCTACTCTACCCTACTCTACTCTACTCTATCTATTCTTGTTCCTGTGCATATTCCTGGCATCGCTGACTACATTCTTCCCTGCCCCGTCACTCCTTAAGGTATTTCTTTTTTTTTTTCCCCTTCCAACGATCAGCTGTTCCGATGATCAGCTGTTCCGGGATTCCCCTCACTTCCCCTCACTACTGTTTCGCCCAGGAGGCTTCCCTAAAGCCCAGGGAGGCAAAAAAACCCAAAACCCTTCATTTTTTGCCTTCCTCAGGCTCCCCTGAGGCCCCCAAAATGGGAGGGTGCTGCAAAAAAGAGGAAGCCACGCCCACCCAGTCACATGACCATGCCCATCTAGCCATGGCCACAGAACCGGTGGTTTCAAAATTTGAATCCCGCCCCCAGAAGTTGTGCTGAGGAAAAATATCTACAGACCCCTCACATCCTGGGCATCAACTGTTCCTGACAGAACAATTAATCAGTGGAACAGGCTTGCCTTCAGAAGTTGCCGGTGATCCATCACCAGAGGTTTTCAAAAAAAAGCCTGGACAGCTCTTTGTCTGAAATGGTATAAGGGTTCCTGCTTCAGCAGGGGGTTGGACTAGAGGACCTCCAAGGTCCCTTCCAACCCTGTTGTTCTGGTATTGCAGGCCAAAACCACCAGACACAGGGACAGCTTTTCCCCTCATGCCATCTCTCTGCTGAACACTCAATCCTCACAGCATTGTTTTGTATGTCGAAGCATATTTACCCATGTTATACGGCTGTGCTGTTACTATTAGAACCATAGTGGCCCAGTGCTTAGAATGCAGTATTGCAGGCTAATTCTGTCAACTGTCAGCAGTTCGATCCTGACTGACCAGCCTTCCATCCTTCCGAGGTGGGTAAAATGAGGACCCAGACGGTTGGGGGCCATAGGCTGACTCTGTAGAACCACTTAGAGGGGGCTGTAAAGCACTATGAGGCAGTATAGAAGTCTAAGTGCTATTGCTATTATCCTTCTCATCTTCTCTATTACCTGTCTTATTGGTATCATTATTATGTTTATTATTACTCGGTTGTTTTGCATGTACACTGAGAGCTTTCAAACCAGAGACAAATGCCTTGTGCGTCTAACCAGACTTGGCCCAATAAAGTACAGTCTTCTCTTCTGTTCTCTTCTGTTCTACTCTACTCTCTGTTCCCTTCCATTCTATTTCCTATTCTGTTCTGTTCTATTTTCTACTCTACGCTAACAGCAAACAGTCCTGTTCTGTTCTACTCTATTCTGTTGTACTCTATTTTATTCTGTTCTATTCCCGGTTCTACTCTATTCTATTTTGTTCTTTTTTACTCTACTCTACTCTACTCTACTCTACTCTACTCTACTCTACTCTACTCT